TAAATTCTGGTTAAAGACCAGAGAAAAGGTTTAGTTCATTCACATAATTCAGCATATCTTAATTACGTAATATACTGTACAATAGGCCAGATGCAAAATGAAAATACAATGTAGATTTAGGGATATACAGAACTTTCCATTTCAGTACAGGGTATCTAGGTCATCATAACAAAAGATGAGGAGATGGACACCTTTAATCTAAGTTAAACATATTTTTGTCTTACCTTCTTTGAGCTGTTCCGATGCTTGTTTGGTCACTAAATTGGATATAGACTCTACAACTGTGTTCTTTTTTCGAAACCTGCACAGAATGGTGATACAAGTAAAGAAATAAGAAAAAGGCCACATTCTCCTCAGACCTTCTGACAACATGTTCATCTAAAAATGGAAAAAAAAGATGTTTAACAACATTTCCATCAGATAAAACGTTTTATCAGCTAACAGTATGCATTATATTTTAAAATATTTTGATCCTGATGTTTCTCTACAAATATGCAGTCTTCTCAAACTTGGAGAAGACTGTACATTTGTAGGGAAATTCTGATTATTTTGTTTAATTTAATTTAGGGCTAGGATATTTATATATTCATTTACCCTATGTAATAATTACATTGCCCTGCCTAATTATTTTCCCCACTTTGCTATTGCAAACCTAAATGAGCACAGGTACACAAAAGTACTTCAGATTCACACAATTAGTTGAAGGAGCCCTGTCGGTGTGCATTAACAGTGCTTCACATGATTTCCGTATAACTACAGCAATCTCTGAAAGGTCCCTTGATTGGGTAGTGAATATTATAGGAAAACCCAGGAGCTTTCAAAACGTCTAATTTTGGAGTTTGCAACAAAACATTTAGGTTTGGTGAAAACACTTTTGCAAGGCACTGTATACATTCAGTACATTTTAAGCTGTTTTTGCAAGATAGCTATCTGCAGTTTTATCTGGGAGAGTTGTCACACTGAAATATTCCTTTCAAGACTTTAAAGATAGAAAAGCATTCCGTCATCATGTGAGCTCTGCTCTTTTATTAAGTTGGCATGTCTTCTGCTTTGTTCTTAAACCAAATGTTACGAGGCAACCTAGGATACCCATCCACTCCCCCATGTTATACTATAGATGGTTGCAGAAATTTTACATTGGAAACTTGGATTTTCTTATGTTTCTTATAAGAAAGACGTTTTTTCTTATTTTTATTAACTGGAATTTCACAAGTTGGAGGGAGGCTGCGATCAGGAACAGAGACAAGAAAGCATCAAGACAATCCACATACGACTCATCTACCTTTGGCAGGTGTGAAGAGCATCCTTCATTGTGCTGATGCCCCTCTGGATGTCCTGGTGCTCAAAGGTCATGGCTGCCTGCATGACCAGGATGGTGCTGTACCCCAAGGCATGATACATACTCTCTTTAGCCCTGCAGGCAACCAACGGTCAATCAGTCACATCATATTGCAAAAGACTGTACAACCGGCAAGGCTTTCATTCATTACAAAACGAGCAACAGCAGTATACAGATTTCAAAGGAAAAACATCTGCTACCCGTCATCCTCACATAGACTGCACATATCAAGTCAGAACACGTTTTTTTCTTGATCACAGATTTGATGAAACATCAGATTGAGAAAGCTTGTTGCAAGTGGCTCTGTGGCTAAGGATCTGCGCCTGTGGCCGGAAGGTTGCCAGTTCGTATCCCGCAGCCGGCAGAGCAATCCTACTCCGTTGGGCCCCTTAGTAAGGCCCTTAACCCCAACTGCTCCAGGGGTGCCGTACAAATGGCTGACCCTGCACTGTGACCCCAAGCTTCTTTCCCTGTCTGTGTCTCATGGAGAGAAAGTTGGGGTATGTGAAAAGACCAATTCCTTATACAAGAAGTTATATATGGCCAATAAAGTGATCTTATCTTAAGTACTCACTTCTTTAGAGCAAAATGTGAAGACGCATTACCAATTCCTTGCATTTTCATAAAGCACCTTACATCCCCAATGATCCCAAATGGCTTCACATGTGGGAGGGGACCCAATTCATTCTCCACCTGGGCAGCCTCACTTGATGTTAGCAACCCCACAACACAGTCGATGAGGTAGAGAAGGGAGACACTATTTCATCAGTTCAATTCATAGGTGACATTAAGGAGGCCAGACTGTGCTAGCCCAGAGCAGAATTAGTCCAGGACATCAAGGTTAACAACTCTTAGTCTTACCAGTAGAAGTGACACACAGTGAAGGATGGCACTTCCTTCAGCACAGTGTCCCCAGTCACCACAGTTAGTCACCGGATTACAAACATGGTCATATTATAAACAATATAAAATTCCAATAGCTGTTAGTTGTTTCTGCTTGTCATTTTAAATTAAATGCACAATTAGCATGCCAGACCTTCATTAATCTATTCAGCTGTGTCCACTGACATACAGTATTTAGGCTGGGTAATAAACTTTGTTAGAAAAACACAACAAAGTTAAATTGATATAATTCCATCTTATATATATATACACAATTCTGAAATAAAAGCCTTTTGGGACATATTGTAAACATACAATACATATTATACATCAGAAGTAGCATTAATATTTAATATCAAAGATACTTCTGGTTATACCAGTGGAAAGTGACTTATAAAAGTGTCAATTAACTACAATATCATTGAAAATAATTCTGTTTTTAAATCTCCAGCTTCTCTGCTCTGTTCAGATCTTAATTTAGCTTTTTGATTAAAGCACATTTTCAAACGCCCATTGACTGCCCCACATTAACATCATATTGCGACCGTAAATTTTATCTTAAAATAAGCATCTATGATGGTGGTGGTAATGGGGTGCATGAAATACTTCTCGTTACAGATAACAAAAATATGTTTCTATACATTAAGTTTATTTTTGCAAAAACATGCATCACTGAGTTTTTTTCTGAAACAGTCTGTCAACAATTCAGAAGCTTTGCAAATGAGTTACAGAAGCCCAACTTTCCCAGAGCTACTAATCATTCTGGACCTGTCATTCTTTGGTCCCAGATAAATCTTTCATTATTACACATTGCTTCGTTCAGCTAAACAACTTAAGAGTTATAGAACATCCCAAGATTTTGAAAATAAACCCTTCTTACCACTGCACTCTACATATTAAATAAAAACTACAAATTTGCTAGGTTTTAATATTGCAAGGTTCACATCCACATACACTGGGTCACTACTTGGTAAAAATGGAATGGAGACAAATGAAATTACAATGCCCTCAGTGACTCAAGAACCCAACAACGCAATCATTCTTTTTACAATGTAAATTAGTAATACAACGTGCTATTGTATTACTACGGTCCAAAAGTAGATTATCTGCTCACACTAAGAGTTCCTTGCAAGGCAGTCTTGCACAGGGGCTCTGTAACAAGAGGATGCACTCAGAATTCAACAGAAGGTAAAGATGATACACTTTTGCTAGGCAACACAGAACGCTCAAAGAATTTATTCTGCAGACAACCCTTTATTTCAATATTGAACTCGTACACATACACAAACATTACACTATACATACAAACATGCTGCATGTGCTTACGTGCTGTCACAAACCGGCCTACTATTTTGGTTCTGTCAACTAAATCCTCAAAATCCAATGTTTTGTAAACCAAAGGTCAGTTAGCCAACCAAAAGAGAAGAATTAATCTGGTCCTCTCTCTTTGCAGATTAATAGTAGTGGACAGGATAGTTCAGAGAATACACAGAAAAGCAGAAAGCTAGATTGAAGGAGGTCTGTTATTCAAATCATAAATATTGCTCTGTAATCTTTGCAAACACTATTCCAACTTTCAGATTATGAGAGCTCCCAAGCAATTAATCTTGCACAATTATTCCTTTTTACTATATTCATCCTGTTCAGAGTGTTATTCAGTCCATTGGTAACTATGCCAGTGAGGCAGTGACTTTTGGGTCAGCTCCAACACCCACTGAGGAGTAAGCAAAGACCAACAAACTCTGTTCAACCCTCAGAACCACCAAAGCCACTACTAAACACAAAAAATCCAGAAACTTGGCCTCTCATGCCAGAACTGGAGGTGTTCAACCAGAAAAACCGTTCTGCTTTGCTATAGAATGAGAAAACCTCTTTTGAGGACGCTATTCTAAAATATTCCAATTCATTCTTGTATTCTGTGCTGAAAATTATGGAATAATCCACCAAATTGAATTTTAGTTTTAAAAAATCATGCCACGTAACCACGAGCCTGTACTATTTACATCAATGAAATTAAGCACAGAACATTTACAATAAAGGCCAATAGCCAATTTGTTTGCTCAAAAAAATAAAGAGACTTAGTACACTGGAAATACATATTTATGATTCGGGTTTATTTTCTGAAGTTAAAACACCTATTAATACATAACTTTCCCAATGAAGATTAGCACAATTGTGGGTTTAGGTTAGACATGCCTTTTTTTAGCAACAAATTGTTGAAATTGCCCAAAATACATACCAAGGCCTGAGACGATCCAAAGCTTCAGAGAACTTGTTGTTCAAAAAGAGGTTTAGTGCAATGCTGCATTCTTCTAAGGCCATCTTCAGATCCATCTTGGATGCCCTGATGTAACAAAAACATAGTGAGTTCCTTTCTATTCTAGTTGGAAGGTATTGTAATGCATGAGAATTTTAAATTTATACAGGACCAAAAATAAAGACAGCAACTTTACCAACATTTAGCCTAACTTCATCAGATCTCAGATGTTAAGCAATGCTGGGCCTGTTCAGTACTAGAATGATTCCAAGGAAGGATTTAAAATAAATTTTATACAGTACTTGGAGGATGTTTGACCAGTATAACCAGTACTAACTATGGAACTATAGAGAAACACTTGAGATAAGGCAAACAATGAGGAAAAACAGATCTTCACTCTCCTGTGGCCTTTCAGGTATTAAAGATACCCAGAGAAAACATACAGAGCAGCAATCAGATTCTCTCAACAATAAATTTCCAAAGGATCCTAACCTGTAAACATAATGCTACTGACAGTTACACAACAATCTAACCTTCATACCCACTATATCCCATTCCTCTTTGATGTCTGGAATACTAAGGTTAAGTAAACACTTGGAATACTAAGGTTAAGTAAACACTCCATTAAATTAACATTACTAATGATTCAAGGCTATTAGAAAAAAAGTCCTGTGATGTCAGCCAAGGTCATAAGTATAAAGACGTTGGATTAAAAACTTTCTTCAAGCTGTCAGAGAGAAAAATAACAGAAATCAGTTAACTGCAAAAGCATACATAAATTATTCTGTCTCCCTTCTGTTCATCCCTGTCTTTTGGTTTATTTTCTCTTGGAAGATGATCAAGTCCTGCATTCACCAGTGTCTCAGCAGATGCAGTGCTGTAATCTAGGTCACACTCCACTTTCTCCTGATACTAACCTCCTTTTCTTCCTTATATCATTACTGCTGGTTTTGTGCTTTGAAACTACCCACATCTCTTACAGTGACAAGAACTTTTTCAGGAGTGAAAAGATCGGGTAGACCTTTTTTCTGCTATCTTGTTTTTTTTTCACCTGGATATACCATATAAGATGGGGCACCACTCTGATGATGAGGAACAGACTGCCTTTTGTTTTTCCTACATCACCCAGAGAACCACTCAGCAACAGAACCCTTTAGTATCCTGAGAAGAGCAGCATGCTTGCTCTACATTATTAACTCGCCCAACCCACTGCAAACATGGAGGTATACTGTAAAGTCGACACTCCACACTGGCCATGAGAGTTAATACTCAAGGTCTAAAAATAACACTGGCAAACAAAAAAATTAATACATTGCTGCAATTCTGCATTGCCTAAGTACCAGTCATCTGCAGTGTGCGCCACTACAGTGACAGTAACTGAAAATGACTTTAAAGCAAATTAAACATCATTTGCATTTCTGCTGCTGTTAGTGTTAGTCTTGCTTTTACCACATACTGCATAACCAGTACACATTCATCCACTCCAAATACAAAGATGTATTTATTATCACATTTATGTATCCTGTGCACTTAAGTTGTAATAGCTTTAAATAATCCTTAAATTAAATTATTCTCCTCGATAAAAGTATTTTGGACAACAACCTCTGTGTAGTTCCATTATAATGTATACTGCAAAATTAATATTAAAAGACATATGGACTAAAAAAATCCTTAACTATCGAAAAAGAAAAATTCATCAAGTCTTGCAGGCATGCACCCAAACACTAATAAACACATATTGACCAATTTAATTGTCTTAAACTAAGCTGTTTAAAGAGCTTGTACTTACAGTGTGACACAATGGAAGGGACTAGTTACCCAGTTCTATAATCCAGAGCTATGGAGGACCCAGTGTAAGCCTCTCCGAGCAGATACAGTTTTTTCATAAATCTTTTTTTTTTTTTGATGCCCCATGAGGGAGAGACAGAGGGAGGGAACCGGTGCTTAATGTTTGTGAAAAACTGAGGGAGGGGAGGGAACAGATATAGAAAGAGAGGGAGAAGGGCAGCGCTTTTCTCTTTTCTTCCATCCTTCACCAATTGCTTGGAGAGCTAATGAGCCTGTTCAAAGTTCACGAATGCTGAGCGATGCCACACAGGCTCCTAATTCAAAAGGGGAACCAGCAGGTATCGCCATGGTTTTCAGCAGCTGCTCTGCAGGGGGAAGGAGCAACCAGAAAGCTGCAGTACCGCAGTGAGCACCTCCTCTTTCTCCCTCTTTCTCCCTCTCTCTCTCTCTCGCTTCGCTTCATCACCCTCTGAGCCTGATAATAGCACTTCCCAGAAGGGTTGAGCAGTAATACCACCTACAGCAAAACTGAGTTTCACTTCGCTACCACAGACCCAAAACCCACTGAGGCGAAATTTTGAGTCCCAATCACCTTCACCATTCCTATCAGTCTTTGCTCTCTATTCTCAACACAGTTTAAGCTCTCTATCTCTTCCACCTAACAGTGAAAGCTATCATCAGCCAGGATAGAAAGTGTCTGTACAGGGAGGAGGTGGGGATTCTACCTCATTAATTCTTCTTTCTTGTTATATACTGCATTACCTTAAACTGTATACAAGGAAATTCACCCTCCTGGTCCGAAATGCCCAGAAAATGTTCCACTTATTGCAGTCACAAAGCTAGTCCAGTTAATTGGTTTCTGCTGCAATTTTTTTACACCCTCTCTGTTGGTAAAACATCAACAAAATAAAAAAACAAAAGGCAATAATGAAATCAAATCAATCCAAATGTGATTTGTCTACCAGGTTGGGCACAATGCAGAACTGCGGAAGGCTTACTGTATATTCCAGATGGTGAAAATTTCAGCAATACTGACCAAACGATGGCCTTTTGATTAGATTTACTCCAAGCAAACCTATCAAAGTGCTTTGAAATTCAGTTTGTTTTCCTCTTGCTGAAACCTAATAATGCCATTCTAATTGATTATTTTTCTCACAGATTAAAAGTATACTTAAAACGCATGATTGCTGAAAGAGGGACAACTTTAAAACCCAAGTCATAACTTACGCTCTCCTGTGTTCTTTGACAAGAATCTTTGGAAGGCTTCACATTAAAAAAAAAATAATATTAATTTAAATGAACAACTCCTCATTTTGTGGATAGAAATAACAGAACATATCAACTGGGTTTAATTATATCTATACTTGGATTTAATTCTGGATCTAGGGTGCTATCTGCATTACGTTTGCATGTTCTCTCCATGTTCACTAGGGTTTCCTGTACTGGTGTCCTCCCACAGTCCAGAGACATACAGTAGTGGCAGGTTATATGTTTTCTGGAAAAATTTGGTGCTGGTAAAAGTGTGTGTGCGCGTCTGTCTGTCTTAAGAAGAACTGGTGTCCTATCCAGGGTGTACACTCCTTCTTAGTCCGCATAGGCTCTGGCTTCCTAGTTGGATGTTAGAGTAGATGAAGTGGTTACAAAATGCATCAACAAATAGAGGTATACGCATTTTTTTAACTTTATTCAGACCTTTAGGAGAGAAAAAAAACTGAGATGTGTTGATTGCATAAGTATTTAGACCTTATCTGAATTATTCAGTACTAAATAATTGAATAACTCAGTATTGAAGACTTCTTAATACTTCAGATAACTATCCACCAATGGCAGCAATTACAACAGCAAGTCTTTTTGGGTAGGTCTTTATCAACTATACATGAGCTTGATACAATGTTTATCCCTGTAGTTGGTCTTTATTGTTTGGTTCTATACAAGCCCTCATTGTGGGGTGACCAGAATATTGTTGACCCATGGACATTTGCTTCCTGCCACTGAATTCTGTAACATATTGGGAAACTGTCTGGGTCCCATCAGCTTTTTTATGATTGACTTCACTATGCTCAAAGGATCTCTGAAACGTTTTTATATTCTTCTCCTGATCTGGGCTGCTACACAAGTTTAATCCTGAGGTGTCGTGAAAGCTCTTTGGTCTTCATAGTTGAACCTTTGCTTGAAATTCACTAGCTAAATAACCTAGCACCTCACAGAGGTAAGTATATTCTGAAATGACTTGAAACACTATCACTGCACACAGCCAGTGGCCACTCAACTAATTGTGTCACTAAGTTAATTTTGTGTACCTATATTTAAGTTCAAATTATTTCGCAATCATGACTTCCATTTATTTTTTACATTATCTGCTTCATTTTTGTTTTGCAGTAGGTTCTGTGCATTACAAATAATTGCTACTTTAATGCATGACTCCCAACTGTAAGGCAACTGAATGCCAAAATAAAAAAAGCACGTATAGGCTTTTTAAACATATGGAAGCTTCTGACAGCACAGAGACAAGCTGAATTACTCATTGAGTAATCATTGGTCATTGAATTATTAAAGTGCTGTGAACTTTATTATTCATACACAACAGAAGAACAGCTTACTCCACTCAGTTTCACCCAATTATTTTTTTATTATTATTCCCAAAGGAAATACACAGTCACTACAACATAATAGATCATATAAATCCAGTAAACCTCTTTTAATTCAGTTTTTAGTAGTGTTTTTTTTTATTTTCATGAGGTTTTAATAAAGGTAATTCAAAACTGCTCATTCAAAGGGAATGACAAACAGGACATGTTTGCAGACTGGAGGCATGGGCTCATTATTCAAAGGTTCTAATATGACAACAAGCAAGTTAAGGATAAGGGGCTTGAGTGAAACACTGTATTCACAAGTGTTATTAGTGCTACAGACCAAATGCATGTGAGTATATTCATATGATATGAAAAGAACCAACTAGGATAATGATATTCACTGAGTAATTGCAAAATCCTTATAACCTTAACATTTCTAAATTAGCAGCATGTTTGCTGCAAGCTTTATTTCTCATAAATAGTAGGCATGAAGAACTAGGATTATCTGAATGTTCACAAAGGAATTAAGAGTCCTTCGAAAAGCACAGGAAGCAGCTCACAAAAGTGGTGACAGGGACCACTACAAACAGGCCAGAAACCAGCTCAAATGTGCAATAAAGAATAAAGGAATAAAGGAATTACAAGGACAAACTACAACAACAATTTGCCAACAAAGGTCTCCAAACTATTACCAATTACAAAAGGAAATCCCCCTCAGATACATTTTGATCAGTTTCTACCAGACAACCTCAACACATTTTACAGTAGATTTGAAACACAAAGGATCTCCAGTGACATTGTCCATGGCAGTCTCGTGATTCACCCAGATATTTCACACTCTCAAGATGAGCTAATGTCCCCCACTCAACTGCAGTGCCACACCCACTCTCACTCAATCTCTCAGGAAGATTTAATGCCTTTTACAAGTCTTGTGAATACTCTTTTAATCAAAGAAAAGGATTTGTTAAGGCTATTCAAAAAGCAAAACTATAAAAAGGCACCAGGACCTGTCTGTGTATCTCCAGCCACACTAAAACACTGTGCTGGCCAACTTGCTCCAATCTTTACAGATATTGTCAACACACTGTGCTGTGTTGACTGTGCTAAGCTGCTGTTGCACTGCAATTTCCCCCACAGGATCAATAAAGTATCTATTAATCATTGTCCCGGTGCCAGGCTGCTTCAACTCTTCTGTTATTGTTCCTGTTCCAAAAAAGGACAAAATAACCTGCCTTAAAGACTATAGACCCATCGCACTCTAGTTAGTGGTAATGAAAACATTTGAACGTCTGATTTTCAACTACTTAAAGACTGCTACTCACCTTGATCGCCTGCAGCTTGCATCTAAGGCCAAGGTCAGTGGACGATACTGTGAATTTTAGCTCAGCATTTAATACAATCATTCCCGATTTACTACTGAGCAAACTCTCAGATATGAATGTTAATCAGTCCATTTGCAAATGGATTCTCAATTTTCTGACAATTTTCTGACACTGCTGTCAATGTGGTGGAATCCTGCAGATTCTTGGGCACCTACCTCAAACACTTTCCGCTGGGATGAAAACATTGCTTCCATTATAAAGAAAGCACAGCAGCGCATGCACTTTTTTAAACATCTCAAGAAGCTTGGCATTGCATAATCTATTCTCATACAGTTCTACAGAGCCATTATTGAAAGTGTGATTATTTCTATCATTGTCTGGTTTGGCTCTGCTACTGCACAGTCCAAAAACTGATCACAGCTCAGTGTGCTAAGAAAGTGATTGGCTGCAATCTTTCATCCCTCACCGTGCTTTACAAATCTAGAGCAGTGAAACAGGCTACCAAATTGTTGCAGATCCCTCCCACCCTAGTCATCACTTATTTCAAAGGTTTCCCTCTGGAAAACATTTTAAAGCAATCAAAACCAAAACCAACAGACACCTGGACAGTTTCTTTCCCAATGCCATATCCTTGCTTAACCAGCATCCTTCCCCCAACAACTTCCCATTTCATCTGAAAAAAACAAACTGAACTTTTATTACTGCTTAGTTCACACATCTTGTATATCTTAAGCTTAAGAACTGGCATGTCTTCCCAACATGTTTACATAGTTGCACCTTACTCCTCAGACCGCACTTTCACACATGGTCTGACCTTGCCATGTGTTTTGCATATACTCCAATGTCTATTGTTCATATATTTCCACCGTACTGTAAAATGTGAATGTGCCCATGTCCTATATATACTATAATGTCTACATGTTCTGCGAGCACATATTGTGACTGTGTTGCGATTCCCCCATCTTCTGTATATTGTCCAGTGTAACAATGTCAGTAATGTTAATGCTCCTTTTGCACCTGTGTGGGTTTTGTGTCGAGCAGGCTGGTATAGCAAATGTACCAAGGGAAATTCCTGTAACTGACACGTACTGCCGAATAAAAGTGATTCTGATTCTGATGTGGAGGCAGCCTTGCACTTAGAAAAGTCAATCACTTGCAAGTGTAAGAAAGGTCAAAAGACCAAGGACAATGAAACTGTGCATCATGCAGGGAAAACCATACAAAATGCTTGCATTTTACATAAATACAAGCTTCTCTGTCTGCTTTTAGTCTAAATGCTGTAGCATACAATTCTGACTTTTCTATCCTCTAATTCCAAGCATACTGTATAACCATTAATATAGGACAAGGTCTCAAATAAGTATTTTGATTCAACCACAACAAGTATTACAGCCCACTGCAAGAAATATGTCCAGTTATTCAGAATGTCTTAGTATTTCAATCAATCCAAGAATACTGCAATACCAGTAGACAAACTGTCTAGTAGTTTTATTTTTACAAAAATACTATTTTTATCTGAAAAGAAAAATGAAGACAGAAACCATCACCGACCGCACATAAGTCTATTTCTGTAGCCTGCCAACATACCAGGACAAAACCATTTGCTTTTTAGCACACAAGACACAGATATTTAGTAACTCTTGCAGAGTGACCTCTTGATGCTTCAAAGCAAGGCAACTGACTCTAACGGTAAACTCAAAATGTGGGGTGCGGTTGCCATTATCAGTCAAGACCTGCAATTTCTGGGTAACAGCAGGAAAACATCACAACAGAAAGAGTAATAAGGCAATGAAAACTCCATTGTTTCTTCCTGTTGCTAGTGTACAAACTAGGTTTACATAAAAGTGGCCACCCTTAAAATGGGTTTCAGTTTACTTGTACATCCATAGTATGAATCACAGACTTCTATATGATTATTTTTAATTTATGTCAAGCCTGCTAATTGTCTTCACAGTGTCACAAAAAATGGAATTGGGCAAGAGCAGTCAAGGGAACTGGTGCCTAGTAAAGCCATATACTTGGACAGGACTCTAGGGCAGCCTAAACTAGGACCTAAAAAAAACAGAAGCTTGGAAAGGTTTTTAATTTACTCTGCCTTGAACCAAGCACACCTTTTAAACTTCAAAAGAGCTAAAAAAAATAAATATATGTCCCACTGGGTCAGTAACTGAAGTAATTCTGTTAACCGACAGCATGTTTTCTAAAACGAACAGTGGATGGTATGACCCCTTGTACCTGATCATACAGTACCATTCATCTAAATTATTTGTAAGAGATTCTATCAAGTATCAACAGGAATTTGTAATACATTACAGACTTAACCGATGGGTTGGATATCTGAGTCACTAGAAAAGCATTAGCAAATCTCATTCATACTCTGAGCAGGGGGCAGCAATTCCAGACTTGGGGTGATATCTGTGGAGTTTGCATGTTCTCCCCAGGTTTTCCACAGTTTTCCTCTGGTGTTCCATTTTCCAAAGACATACTGGTAGGTTAATTGGCTACTTGAAAACTGGTCATGGTGCGAGTGTGTATCTGTGTGTGCCCTGCAATGGACTGGTGTTCCATCCAGGGTATATCCTTCCTTATGCCCGCAGCTTACCGAGACTGGCTCTGATGCTGCCATGAATTGGCAGAGGTGATTAGAAAGTGAATGAACAGTTGGTCTACGAGCAGGTTCAGGCACTCATCCTTGCTAATGTGGTTCATGTGCTGGTTAGTCCATAAATCCACCAGTATGATTTTCAGACATCAGCATTTTAATTCTGACACAGCATTAGGTTTACGCTTTTAGCTGGACCTGCCCATTTTAAATCTCCTAGGCCATAACCCGTTTATTCTGTAATTCCCATGTCCACACATATTTGTTTCCAAATGCAGCAACCTGCTGCACATATTAGTTAGCGCAAAAGACTTTCTATAATATTGTAACGCAACGGGGGCTCAGGCGGGCGCCCTTGCCGCATCTGGTCGGCCCCATCCCGACTGGAGGCTCAAACCCGGGACTTCCACGTCTCTCTGCAGCGACCCAGCCCCGTGAGCTAAAGAGATCTCTCCACAGCCCAGTAGCTGTAGTCCTGCTATCACAGGGAAGGGCGGTGACATCACCTGCTCTGGTACGCCGGCTCTTACACAGTGCCTGTCGGCCGTAAGCGTTACAATATACACATTATTATAAATTTCTACACCTTTCTGTACCTTTATGTTAAAATCTAAATTAATACGTCCGTAAAAAACTGGCCATTTAAAACACACCTCAAAAGTGGAAAACAAAAATTGTTGAACACATCACACCCACTGTGTCTCTATAAACTGGGATTAATGGCACCACACAGACCCATAATGACTATAGGTGCTATTTACTTTTTCTCTACTAACAGAATATCAACAGGAGGCTCAAAAGAAAGGACATTTACAAAACCCAAAACTGCTATATGGAACAGACACTTTTTCCATCCGTTTGTTACTTACTTCATGGCATGTTAAGGAAACTCGTAACGCTACACTATCCTATGCAATGCTTTCATTTCCTATAAACATGAAAATAGGAGGATTTCAAACAGTCCTTTGTTCCTGTGAAATAATCTATGCACAAACAAATGCTTTATTTTTCCCAAATTCAAAACTGTAGGTGTAAGAATTTGCTAATGTTGGCAGAAAAGGAATCTAAAAATTGAATAAATTGGAATGAATACAAACCTTAAAATATGCAGTTTCATATAGCACATAACATTTTTGGCTGACACTTTTATTCACCTTAAAATCTGTAAAGTGCTCAAGTGCAAACAACTGGGAGCAAAAGGCAAATATAAAGACGTAAGATTTTATACCATTGATACAATTTGTATTGAATATGCTCAAGAATAAAACACTATCCCACTCAGGATTTGAACCTAAAACCTTGAAGTTGTAAGCCCAGAGACCTAACCACTGCACCACATTTCTACCTTTGGTATACTGGTAGTATATGAATGACTGCAAAAGTCCTGCTCCATGTGCATTAGAGAAGGGATGTAAATACATCAAAATACTCAATCACACTTACATAGGAATGCGATCAAAGGCATCTTCAAAGCTCTCCTGCAAAACAAAGGAAAACCAGGCTGGTTAGACAGATGTGTTCATTCTATTCATGCTACCACTTTGTACAATAGTTCACATCCTATATATGGTGGATTTCTATTACTGTAACCTAGCTCTGAGCACCTCGTCAACATAAAACTGACTAATGAAACACTATAGCTCTTTACAATGAGCCCCATTTCCACCCGTTTTACCACATTTACATTTATCTTCCTGACATTTTGTGATAAATGGCCTTCCCAGTCTGTAAGCATCTTTATGCTCTAATCAGAAAGTGATGAGTATAGCCCCCCGTCAGGACTGAATGGCAGCCACCTCTCCAGCTTTAAATAGACTGAGTGCCAGTCCCCAGAAAGCAGAGATCATTTCACCTCAACAAAAGAGGGTCATAGCAGAATGCTATCCAAATTCCATGGAAGTAACATCCCCTTCAGTGTCCAAATCAGTTTCAATGAGTCTTATAAAGGTTATAAAGGCAGCAGAAAAGTATTTCCTAATTCTGCTACAGATGGCTTTTACATACCATTAACTTTTTAAAACAATGATCAGCAGCACAAATAATTTTTAATTAAAAGTTTCAACTTGAGTTCAACTTTACAGGGTCTATATTTTTAGCAAAAGCAATATATTGTTTTCTCTAGACTGCTTACATATTTTTGCATGTTTTTTTTAGAATACCCATTGGTGTATATTTCATGTGTAGAGAATACATGTAAAATTGGCAATGGAGTCTTATTCAGATGCAGTACTTCTGCGCATCTATTCAGTATATTTTATTCTTTCTTCTCCATTCCTGTTCTACAGCTTTCCAAAACAGTTGGAATGTGTGTACCTATTTATATTTAGTCTCCTAAAGAGAGCAGAGCTTGATATACTAACTCAGGGAAAGAATTCTTTTTAACAGGGATTCTGTCTCAGTGACACCTTGTGTTCAAACTATTAACCTCTGATCTCCTCCACACTTGTACTCCATCAGATAAGGAATCCTAAAGCAAATGTAACACTAAAAGCATAATTGAAATTTACAAAAATTTATTATAAAAATGTAAATTAAGATAAAGTGCATCAAACGGATGCCATCCCAGTGGTATAGGGGTTAGCGATGCAACCTCACAACTCCTGGGTCCAGGACTTTACTCTGGACTAGGTCACTTTCTTTTCTGTGCGAGTTTGCCAGCAGTTGTGTGGTGTTGCTATTTAACAGGAGTCTGGTCCCCTAGTATGTTCCCTAAGTTAGACTGATGCCATTTCAAGAGTGCAGCATCCTGTCATCCCAGAATAGAAGGAATAGTAGGAATAAGTGACTTTGTGATAATTGGGTGGATGTGTTAAAAACTCAAGAATGGGAAGCACTTCTTCTGTTACCCAGAGCTATGTTGTCAAACATGCTAGATCCTTCTATAAACAGCTGCACGAGATCCTCATAACAATTGGTTAAGGGCAACTGAACAAGACACATTGGTAGAACAGCATTTTCCCCGTTTGTGTTCTTTTTAATATCTCTCATAGTGATGATGTTCGATTTCATGTAGAAATATACCCCAGAACACAGACAATCTACATGATGACCCCGAAGCTACTGCACAGTTTGAAGAAGACTTATATTTCACACAAGTATTTTTCTATAGTAAATGTCTAAGTCTGCAAGTGGATAATTTAATGGATAATGAAAAAAAATGAAATACCACATTCCTGCTCACTTCAAAAAACCTTTTAAGCCAGAGGAAAAGTGTATAAAATATTATATGAATGTAATAATAATAATAATAATAATAATAATAATAATAATAATAATAATAATAAAAAAGCATATACACTTTAAATTTTACTGACCAATGCCTACCATACTGTAAATCATTTGGATTCACATGCTCTCACACAACCGCTTCAGTTACAAAATATGAAGGCCACCTCCAATTCGGTATAGATTGTGTTAACTATGCTTAGCTGATCATTAAGCTGCTGAGGCTTGCTGGGCAGGTCACCACTTTGATGTTCAGGAAAAAGGGCTAAAGCCAGGCAATCAGTATACAGATACTTTCCAACACCCACAGAACAAAAATGATTCAGGGAGCAGCTGTGTTTTAAATAACCACGTCTGGAGGCCTTGTTTGCTTAAATTAACTTAGATGAAGCTACAGACTCACAGGGGGTCCTTCAGGAGGCAAGAAGCAATACCCAGACACAGTGCCACACAGTAAGAGCCAACTTAAGCTTCCCTGCACCCCCACCAACACTTCATAGAAAAGCTGCCCCACCACATTTAACATTTAGAACTAATGCTTAATTAATTTTAGACTGAAGGATCTTAACTGGGATTCATTTTCTCTTCTGAATCAAAGGCAACAGAAAAGCATACAGGTTTGGCCTAAAATGCCAATTACAGAATTTGGGCAACTGTGTTGGCAGGAAACACCTGAGTCAGACCCACGTTAGACTGGGCACTGGGCACTTGAACACGTGCACTGCATGATCCATTTGAGATTTATTAAATTCTTTATTAAAATATTCTCCTGATGATAATGAAGATGCACTAATTTAAAATAAATTTTACTTACTCCAATAAGAGCAGTGGTTTTCATAGTGTTGTCTGTGTATGATACAGTACAGTAAAAATGCATAGATAAGAACACAGGTGACGGACACCTACACATTAAAAACAGGAAAAAGGTAAGTGCCAAGTACAGTTACCTGTACAAAACACAATTATCAGCAAAAATATAGCTGATTAAACGAATACTAATGGTTACCTATAATATGTTTAAAATGTATATTAGTACATGCTTCATATGCAGGACATAGGATTTACAACTGCAATCTGTTGTAGGATAAATCAATCCAAGCCTAGGATCAATTGTTAAGATTATTCTAGTTCACTTCTGGTCTTGAAACTTAACGCAGTACCTGGCTCTCCTCCGAGTCAGTATTTTAGGAATGATTTAGAGGGAATTCTAATGAAGAAATTCTGAAGGATAAAATTATGTCAAAACCAGGAAACCATAAACCGGGTCTATCCAGACATCTCACAGTCTGCATTTACAAAAAAAAAAGGAAAACTCATCTGGTTTCACCCCATGAGTGAATGACCCACTAACATGCAAAACTATGTCACACGGGTTGCTAATGCATCTGACCAATTACCATTTGTGGCAATATGACTTAAACTGTAACAGAGCATTCTAGGATCACTCTCAGTGGTCCTGTTATTTTAAGTATTTTAAGCGCATGAGCTAACCCCGAGTAGTTTTTTTTGTTCATATAACAAGTATAATTCTCTCTTTACTCTTGCCCTGGTTTAAATGACATTTTATTTATGTTAATAAAACAAACTGAAATGTGCATATATGTTGCAGATTAATTTGATAGCTTTATTCCTAAACACACTGGTCATATAAGATCTTTTTTACCAAGTCTTATAGCAAGGGAATCTTTTAGATCTGTTAACACTGATGCCCTGTACAGGAAAGGTCAGAGACGACTATTTTCTCAGGAGGCTCAGGTCCTTTGGTGTGTGTGGAACACTGCTACACAGTTTTTATGAATCAGTGGTGGCAGCAGCCATCTTCTACTCTGTTGTGTGCTGGGGCAGCAGCATCATTGCAAAAGATGTAAATAGGCTCAATAACCTCACCAAGAAGACTGACTCCCTTTTGTGACTGAGCCTTGACCCCATGGAGGTGGTGGCGGAGGAGAATGCTAGCCCAGCTCATGGCCATCATGAACATCGAATCTCACCCGCTACATGGGGCTGGTATTAGACAGTGGAGCACTTTAAGCACAGACTGCTCCATCTACGGTGTTCAAGGGAACGTTTCCTCAGGTCCTTCCTCCCAGCGGGTGTCAGGGTGTATAACACTGCCCTAGGCTAGGCCTGTTAACCCTTCTTTTGCTCATCTATGGATAGCATGTTGCACTCATGTACTTTTGGACATTGAATTGATATACTGTTTTTACTCTGGTATTTTCAATTTGTACACACTGGATTTTGCACATCTTTTAGTGTTTTACAGTGACTACTAGCATATTTTGCTATCTTTTATTTTGTATTCTATATACTTATTTAATTACTCTTATCTTGATGTCTGTCTTGTCTTTCTTGTGCCGGGCTACTGTAATGCCACAATTTCCCTTCGGGATTAATAATGTCTAATTTCTCTTATCTTAGATAATTGTTGAGTCTATTCATAATTATTCAGACCATGCTCCATTGAATACTTGTGTTCATATACCAGTTTTCAACATTAGATAAAGAGGAGGGAACCCACTTTTTCTATCACTGTAGTAAAATGCTGCAGCAATTATGTGCCAGCAGCTCCTAGTGAGAACATAGCAGAATAGGTATACAAGTGAGAAATTGCTTTTTTAATAAAATTACAGAGGAACTTTAGCCAAAAATCTGGTCCAAAGGGAAAACTGACGACAACATTTATACAAACCACTTGACCACTTCCCCTGGAGGGAAGAATCCTACTGAACAGAAAATTTTGCTGAGCTTCAATGATCTGGTAAGGTGTGACTAAAGCAGTGCTATTGAACCTGCAGCACCTCCAGTTTGCTCCATTAAAGACTTTTTTGCAACCATCTCCTTACCGACCCTTTAATTGATCCTCCTTACCGATATCAAAGTAGCACAAGTAAGGATCTGGTTGTATCAAAACACTGTAATGGTTTGGATTAGAAGGGTTAAAATTTCAGTAAACCTGGGCTAAAAGGTGGTAACAGAAGATTTTTTATTTTTTCTTTTTATATAATCCAGCAATCAACCCTGTATTGGATAAAGTGTGTTGAAAATGGATAATTAGAATATATAGTATTTTGAGTACAATTCAAAGTGCTGTAAACAACTACTTACACTTAACTTCAATTCTTATCTATAGTACATTTTTTAAATGTTTTTTGATTCATCTGCTCAAACAATAATTCATTCAGAGACAGACATGCAGATGTGCATTTGGAATCCTGATCTTGTAAAAACAAAACTTTTTGACATTCCTAGC